ATAATAATAGGTGTATATTTCACGAAGCCTGTGAGACATGCACAAGGCATGATCAAATGTCCAGAGCGAGTATATGTACAATAACAGTTTAAGTACATAGGTAGACAATAAGAATTGTGGAAATCAGAACGAAAACACAGTGTGAAAGGAACACAAACCGGACAAGGTCACCGACCAATTTATGAAAAATGGAGGATGCATTGAAAATGCATGTCACTAGAACTGAAAGTAACAGTAAAGCTGGTCTCGGAAGGATTGGACGTACGGCAACAGTGGGGGGAAATACGAAGAGGCGGTCTGTGGAACAAATGCTGCCTGACGGTGGAGGCATGAGTACAAGAATAGAAAGGAAGGAATACAGCCAGAATAATACGTCGGTAAAGGAACATGTTTCACTCTATGCTGTAATACAACTCGCTTCTGGAGACAGGTTCATTAGGTTCGGGGCTTCAATCGATCAAGGAGTGATTTTGATTATTTAGATTGATTAGGCGTTGGTCTCTTTGATGTGGGACTGACTACACGCTAGACACCTAACCTTAAAACACCTTGTAGGTGAGGCAGGAGGTGTGATTCTCAACCCGGTCCGGAACGCGGACGCATGTAGTCAAGAACGGTGGAAACAGCCGTGCCCAACAACCATTGCCGGAGCCAAATTGTCCATTGTGGTTGAGGACCCCAAGCCTTCGTCAGGCCCAANGGGAGCAAAGAGGCGAACCTTGCAGTCTGGGGTACTACCCAGCTGAAGAAGAGGAAGGAGAGGGGGAAACGGAGCATGCGACGGAACAGAACTAAAAATAAGTGCACACCTAGCACGTTGTGCTAAAATGATAGGGTACCGGAGTGAATATAGACGTAAGACCAAATCGAGGAGTTTCAGCGCGGTAAGACAAAATGCTTCTGAGAGTGCGTACCAGAGTTTTAGATTCCACAGATCCATCTTCGAAACTGAATCCGTGTACTGTTAATAATTGGTTGCGAAAGTGGACACAGTTATCTGGTTAGCATATGCCACGGAGGAAGGCCGAAGGAATTGAGTGAGAATTATTCGAGGAATATGTTGCTCACTAGATATTAGGTCCGTGGAACATGCTAACCAGGCGGCTGTGTTCACTTTCTAAACCCAATTCTTATCACCACACGGATCCAGCCTCAAAGCTTGATCTGTGGAACATACTCTCTGCAGATACAGGCTTGTCAAAACACTGTGACCCATTATTGCTTGATTTATCTCCCACTGATCT